CCTAGTCAACCTCCCAGCACCCACATCTCAGTGTTGAAGCGTCTATTCACTATAGTATCTGCAATAGTTCTTATGCAATATTTTAAATATGAAAGCACATTGACATGTTTTTTACTATATAAAGGAAGTTAGTTTATTAAGTTTTATTAGAAAAATTATAACAAAATAAATAGTTTTGAAGAACAATAATGGTATTATCTCATTCAGCACATCCAGCAAATCAGTGTCCAGTCATGTCCAGTTCCCACTGCACTATGATCAATGGACCCGAAAAGGAATCACAACTCTCACAATCACTATGCAAAAGGGACAACACTTATTGGACTCATGTCTCTTGCTTCTTTCCCACATGACCCCATGGTATAAGGACTTTTCTATTGTTGATTTTCCCACATTTCTTCACTTGAAAATTAATGTAGGCATCATGTAGAACAAGTTCAGCAAAAAGAATTAGTAAGACTATAGCCGAGCATGGAGGTGCATGCCTTTAATCCCAGCACTTGGGAGGCAGAGGCAGGGAGATTGCTGTGAGTTCAAGGCCAGCCCGATCTACATAGTGAGTTCCAGGCCAGCTGGGGCTACAGGGAGACCCTGTCTCAAAAAGACCAAAAACACGGAGGAGGAGGAGGAGGAGGAGGAGGAAGAGGAAGAAGAGGAGGAGGAGGAGAAAAAGAAAAAGAATTAGTAAGACTATTTTATAGAGCACAAAAAAATTACTCATTCATTAATTCATTAATTTGGCCAACCCCAACTGACCATCTGCTATTGAGAAATACTAAGCTAAGCACAAGAATACAGTAGAGAGACAGAGTCATGCCTTAAAGGTGTCCACAATGGTAAAATGAGTGAGTCGAGGGTTGTGCATACAAATCAATGACGTGTGGAGGGTGAGAAGGCCTTTGGTAGGAGAGAAAACCTAAGCAGAGCTTCTATGGATATGTGTAGGAACTATCCAAGTGGAAAAGAAAGGAAACTGTAGGGAAAGAGACCTCCTGAAGGTTAGGGGACATGTTAGCATGGGAGAAATATGGCAACTTGTAATTCCTGGACCACAGGGCATGTGCAGTGTAGGGAAGGATGAGAAGCACAGCTTGTGAAGAAAACAAGAGCCAGCTCTGAGGGGCCAGCAGCAGCAACCAAGGAACGTTTCCCAGCATATCTGTATGGCTCCTATGATGAGTCTGCACTGGAGGGCTTCCTAAGTCATTGATATTTTATTGCTACACAATTTAAATCTAAATTCCATTGTGTAGCTTAGTTTCCATTTTAGGCTTGGTAAACTGCCATGAGCCTTTGGACTTCTCCATGAAAAATAATTTATGAACTTTTGAAAGAAGTTGGTATTCCGAAAACTAAAAGCTAGACCCTGGAGACTGAGCTAGGTCTAAGAAATGTAAGTAAACAAAAGGACTATTATTGCAAATTGGAAGAAAAATATTGCTCTCACGTTTGCAAGGCACTTCCATATTTAAACTCAGACTGACTCATATTTTCTAGATCCAGCTCCTTAACTGGACCTCCCACAGGTATGTCTTTAGCCTGGAGGCCTTCTTCAGGTCTCCAGCGATTGTTTAATATGCCTTTCTCACCCTCCTTTTCATCCAGAAAGATTTAAAGGAAAATGTGCAGCATAAACAGAGCCTTAAATCTTGTCCTAAGAATTTGATAATGACAGTACCAACAGGCCACCTTGGGTCTTGAGCTCCTGCATTGAACAAGCATGCTTGAAATTTACTAGAACACGGCCAACATTCTATAGGTCATAAGCATCTTGAATCGCATCATATAAAACATTTTCAGATATTCTTAAGGAAAGGTCAGCAGCACCACAGCTTCCTTCCTTTTTATAGTTAAGTTCACCCTGGGAAGAATTTTTTTTAATAATGCTAGAATTTCCATTTTCCATTTATGACCAAAACACAAAACCATGAAGGTACCAGGACTGACATTCAGGCCTTCCCCTGTGGTATCTGCTGGGGCCAGCCAGTTCCAATACAAAACTGTGGGAAGACAGAGGTGCTCTGAGGTCTGTGTGGCAGCGGATCTATCGCCTGCAGGATGATGACACTGCAGGTTAGGGAGGAAGTTCCATGACAGCATATCAGTGATCAAAGGATACGCTTGCTTAAGAAATGGTGTGTGGAGAAAGGCCCTGAACAGATTTAAAGAGGCTCCTGCCAGCACTTCCAACAGCTTCTGCCCCAGTAACCATAGAGTATTTGGCCACTTCAGAGCCTGCAGGTACAATAGTTGCCAAGTCCTGACACGCATGGAAGGAGCCCGGTGGCCCACCTGGCCTGATAAGGCAGTTCTTTGGAGTTGAGTTTCTATTCTGCTACCAGATGGGGCCCAGCAGAGTTTCCCATACTTAGACAAATAAGTACTGTGAAACAATAGGAATAAATATGACTGTTTCATTTTTATTTAAAACACAATTTTGGAATTAAACATTGTCAACACAGGTTTCAATAGAAGGAAATTTTAAGGAGCCAAATTCCATGCTAGAATCAGATGCTTTCTCCACTTTCCAAAGTTTGAGTGTTTGATGAAGAATGCCATGATTTGAAGAGGGCAGAAGGGACTGGAGATGAAACCCCTTTAGCCAGGGTCACCTCTGAATGGCCTGGTTATCTAGTGGGAACGCTATCTCCTCCCTAAAAGCCTGTGGTTAGATTAATGCTAGCATTTGAAAATCTGCTAGAGCAGCCAGGAAAGGAATGTGTTTTCTGTTTATCTCTATATTGGCAGATATGTTCATCACAGAAAGGTTGTGAGCACTCTGTTTCGGGCATCCTAGAAACAGTGCAGTGTGAGATCTTTGGTTGTGCACGTCAGCTCCTGAACCAGGAAGAATATACCCTGGGTTCACAGCCCAAGGCCTAGGCTGGTTAAGGGTTCTATTTTGTCATATTGCTCTGAGAGGGAGCTTTGCCACCCCCATTGCTTTATCTCCCAGGAATGCAGCTGGAGTCTCTGCTCCTCCTTGACAGCTTGGACCTCAGTAAATTACCAAGGTCTTGACCCAAAAGATGAGAAATCCTAAGTGATTTTTCAGTCTCCTATCTAAAAATGTGTTTACATTTCTTGAACTCTGGCTGACTGATTCATTCTCCTGGTGTTGCAAGAACTTTCCTTATACATTAGGATTTATAAGTTTCATTTCTGAAAGACCCAGGGTTCTTTCCAAGCCACAGTGAAGTGAACCTCATCACAACACAATTCTGCTGGGTGGCTTTGTCCAAAAGATGGATCCTGGCCAGACAGCTGCAGTGTGGCAGGCTCAAGCGAGGCTAATGGGAAGTGGTGTGATGTGGAGGGAAAACACAAGACAGTTCAGGACTTCTGGAGTCTGGTTCCTGTGCTATTTTAAGGTGTGGGCTTGAGCCTACATAAATCCATTCTCTGGGCCTCAGTTTCTCTGAAATGATTTAAATAAAAAATGTTTTAAGTCTACACAGAAGCTGTTTTCAAACAGATCAGAAAAAGGCAGCAGAGAAACAACAGAAAATGAAGGTCAGCCCACAAGAGATGAGCACTGTCTTGGGATCAAAAAGACAAGGATATAGAGTCACAGATGTCCAAATGCTCTTAAAGAGCTATTGATGAGTACCAAGAAGGGAAAGAGCTTTTTGTTGGATACCAATCCCATGGAAGAGACTAAAATTCATGCCAGTAGAGCCATATGCTCAGCTAAAGCCGATCCTCAAATAAACATTTCTTTATAAACATTACCATTACTTTCTTAGAACCGTGCGAGGCGGTGGGGGGGAATCCTATCTTCTAAGGCCATGGAATTTGAGTCACAAGGTCTTGGACTCAATCCTTTCTCAAAATTTCACCAGTTGAATCTGGGTGTGGTGGTACTGGCCTGTAATTCTAGCACTCAGGAGGTAGAGGCAGAAAGATCAGGAGTTCAAGTTTATTTTGGCTACTCATGGAGTTTGACAGCAACCTGGGCTGCATTAAACACTGTCTCAAAACCCCAAAGGGGGGGCTTGGAGAGATGACTCAAGAGTGGTTAAGAGGGTGTACTGCTCTTATAGAAGACGTGAGTTCAGTTCCCAGCACCCATTTTAGGCAGCTCACAACTGCTGGTTACTCCAGCTCCAGGGAATCTGACACCCTACACAAACATAATTTAAAAATAAAGAAAATATTAAAAATAAAAATGAAAAACTACCGAACATGGTGGCACACAACTTCAATCCCAGCACTTGGGAGGCAGAGGCAGAGGCAGAGGCAGACAGATTGTGAGGTCAAGGCCAGCCTGGTCTACATAGCAAGTCCCAGGCTAGCTAGAATGACAGAGAGACCTGCTCTTTAAAAAAAAAAAAAAAAACTTTTACCAGCTGTGTAACCATCAGCAGTGATTGCACCTCTCAAGTCTCAGCTTTCATATCTGTAATGAGCAGTGACAGGAACAGTCACAGGAACCACAGGCCCAGGTCATGTCTGTGCATGTGGAGGGTGCCATCATGTCCCACAGTGGCCTTTGCCTTTCTTTGCTTCATAGTCCTACCTCTCCTGTTGCCCCTCTACATTATGAGCAGAAAGGGAAGTCTCTGATCTATCTCTCTCTGGAAGCTTTCAGAAACATTTTCCTATTTCAGCAAAGTGTGATCATACAAAATTTATATTCAACAGCATCAGCAGGTTTTTTTTCCATCAATATTTCCTTTTTAATTTTGGCTTTACCTGAATTTTAATAGCACAAAGAATCTACTTTTGTGCTTTTAAAAACCAACTAAAACAAGAAAAGCTTAAATTTGATGATAAGGTCTTAATGACAACACCACCTTCCCCCACCCCCACCCTACCATACACCACAACATGGTGTTTAGACACATTTATAGAGGCTATGGGAGTTATTTGGTAATGCCCTACATGTATGTTTATAATCTTACATGTACATGAGCTAAATGTGTCTGTATATGGTTCATACAAAAATTCATGAGACCTAGATCTGACAACCTTGACCCCTTTTCTCTCTTTCACCTTAGCAAACACCGAACTCAAAACCAATCTTCACAGGAATCTTTATGAAACCTCACCTTTGACCCCAGCAACAGAGAAGCAGGTACAGTTTTGACTCTGAATGAGTGTGATACTGGGAGTCAAGACTTGTCTGGGCCTCTTGTCCTAACTTGCTGTGTGACCTTAAAAGAGACTTCATCTCTTTGGGCCTCACTTGCCTCATCGGTAAAATGAGGCAAGGAAACTATCACTGAGGTTCCTTTACTCTTGGAATTTGAACTCTATTGTCTGGTTATTTGTGTATGTGAATAAACAGAGCAGACCATTCCCAGACATCTGCAAAGTCAAAAAAAGCAACAAGAATACCAAAAAAGTAAGACAGAAGGCTCACATTTTCATTCTGAATGGGGAGAAAAAATAGAAATTAAGTTTTTTTTTGGGGGGGGTTGTTTTTTAAAGCAAGGATAGGAGGCTAGGGAGATGGCTCAGTCTGTAAAGTGCCTACTACAAAGCACAAGGAGCTAAGTTTAGAGCCTCGCCTCTCATGTAAAAAGCTGGGTGTCATGGCCTGCATCTGTAACCCAGCACTTAGGAGGGTGGAAACAGGAAGATTTGTGTAGTTCATTGGACAACCAGTCTAGCTGAATAAGTGGCTCCAGGTTCAGTGGGAGATCCTGTCTTAATAAGGCAGAAGTAATAGAGGAAGACACTCAATGTCAACCTCTGGTCTCCATACACATACACACATGCACACACCCACATGAATACATACATACAACACACAAACATGCACACAAAGCAAGGATAATCATGAAGAAAGGAAGAAACTGCTTCATCTGGAGGGTTTGGGAATGTTAGTGGTTAAAGGAACTATGTGGAGAAACATTCCTAAATGTTTATCATCTGACACTCTCTTCAATGTCTCTAGAGAAATAACAGGGAATTCCCAGAGCTGAACCCAAAGACACAGAGAACCTGAGGCAGAAGCTTCTAATACAGCTCCAGGGAACTCCCAGGACCTTCCCACTATGTAACAGCCTTGGGGCAAGGGTCTCCTTTTCCCTTCCTAACTGCAACTTCCTGCAGATGCTTGTCCTTCCTCCCTTCCACTGCACCTGTTGAAAATCAGAGCTGAGTGGGTCTGTTAACATTGTGCCTGAACTGGCTCTCACTGTTAGGACCCAGGCATGGGTTAGGCCTCCACTCAGCTAAAGCACAGGTAAGCTACCTCTCCTGCTACAGAGGAACCACAGAAACAACATTTACATTTTTTAAAAATGCCCTCTTTGAAGACACTCTTCATAAGAGATCTGAAGGCCTTAAATAACAACAACAATAAGAAGACTGTGACTAAAGAAAATACAATATGGTATATTTTGGTAATCCCACTGCTCTGAAGGCTATGAAAATACCTCCCAGACCCTGACACATTCCAAACTCACACATCCCTATGGCTGTCCTGGAGGAGGCCTGATACCACCTGCAATCAAAGAAAGGCTCAGCCATGTCAAATTAAATCTTACACTGAATTATAAACTTCGCAGTCAGAAAGAACACAGACCTTCTTAAGCTCCAATCCTCAGCCCCCTCTCCCCCCTCCCCTGCAAGCCCTGGAGATGTCCACTTACTCCTTTGTGAAATGGAGGGAGGAGGGGTTCCCTTCAGAGCTAGTTGGTTTGTTAGAGTCACTTTAGTCTTCCTTCCTTTAAAAAGAGTCCTGTAAAGAGAAGCCATATGAGGGCACAGTCTAGGGAGCCCCACCAGCCCCCAAGCCCAGATAAATTGGGTGGGGGAGGCAGGGGGACTTCCTCTTGCCTCCTTACCCCGTCCCCTTACTTCTTGAGGCTAATGGCCCTTTATTAGGTTAATCACTGCCTCGGATTTTAACTACTTCCTCAACCTACTCCACATAAATGACTAATTTCATGTTTACTATAAAGCATCTGGAAAGGATTTAGAAACAAATTTCTGCCCAGCAGACTTCAGTTACCTACCCTGATGGGCCACTGACCAAAGCCGTGGGTTTCCTCCACCAGGACCCTTCCTGCTCCAAGGCAAGGAGGACACAGCACAAAACTGGCTTGCAGCAACAGCAGCAAGCTTCTGAGCGCCTTACTTTGGGTTAATCTCTCTCTCTCTCTCTCTCTCTCTCTCTCTCTCTCTCTCTCTCTCCCTCTCTCTCAGCCACATAGAAGACTTTTTTTTTTTAAGCCGTAGTGCTAGCTCAGAGAGGAAGAATCCCAAAGGTGGACTCTTTGGATCCCAGCACCCTTTGAGAAGTCACAGGCCTAGATTGGGAAGTGATTCCTATGGGTGAGAAAGAGCCTGGCAGACCTGTCTGAATTCATGGATGCTGCCTCGGGCGTCCCCTACTGGAGGGATTGAAAATCCTGCTCTGAGTCCTCAGCTGCTGCCTTGCTAGGGCCAGAGCAGAAAGGGTGAGGGGGCCTGCCCCGTACCATCTCCAGGAAGGGCCCCTAGGCACCCCTCAACTCCTGACCCGAGATTCTGGACCTCGGCGGCAAATGCGTCTGTGAACGGAGAGCTGCAGCTGCCATCAGCAGCTCCCTCGGAGTTGGAAGAGGTGTGTTAAGTCAGGGGAAAGGGGGAGATGAAAAGAGCAGTGAAAAAAGAGAAAGGAGACAAGCAGACAAGTTTCAACTGCAAGCTCCCATTTCCTCTTTCAAATGATCGGCCTCCCCACTGTGAACAGAATCAAGTATTTATGAAGGCATTTTTTGCATATTAATAGCTGCATAGGGATGGAGCCTTGCCAGCTCTGAAGTCCTAAAGGTACGGTGCCCTTTTTTAATGCAGGTCTTTCCAGCTCCTCGCAGAATTTGGTTTTCTCCTTTAGATTTATTTTCCCTTCTGCCTTGTGGCTCCTCCTCTGGCCTTCCATTTGATTAAGAGAAATTAGTTCCTGGGCTGCCTTCAGAGGCCCAGTACTGCTCTTCCTTCTGCGGGTCGCTGACATCAATCGCTGGAGAGCTTTTCGTCTTCCCCAGGGCCTCTGTCAAGAGGCTTGCAGGTTGGGTGAGGTAACCAGCACCTAAAAAGAGTGTTAAAATTGTAAATGAAAGTTCCTGGAGAAAACTTTAATATAGCTATGCAGTGAGAGGAGAAAGCAAAACTTTTTTTTAAAGTACAATAATTTCATTGACTTTAATGGTACTATCCTCTGTAAAGATTGTGTTCCACTTTAAAATATTTTGTTTCTTATTTTTATTTTTGTGTATATGAATGTATTGCCTGCATGTATGTAAGTGCGCCCATATTGTACAATGCCTGTAATGCCTGCGGAGGTCAGAAGAGGGCGTCAGATTCGCCTGGAACTAGAGTTACAGATGGTTGTTAGCTACCATGTGGCTGCCAGGAATCTAATCCAGTGCAAAAGCAGTCAGTGCTCTTAGCCACTCAGCCATCTCTCCAGCCACATGCCTTTAATCCCAGCACTTGGGAAGCAGAGGCAGGCAGATCTCTCTGACCAGGTCAGCCTGTCTATATAGTGAGTTCCAGGCCAGCTGGAACTACAAGGAGAGCCTCTCTCTCTCTCTCTCTCTCTCT